CCCAAAAGACCTCAATGAAGCAAGTGTAAAAGAATATTGTTTAATACCCACCATAGATGACTCCTCGTGTAAACTAAAAGTGCCGAAATTTTTTGGGTTCTGGACCTCAAAGATTCATTTTGCCACATCCCACTAGATGAGGCCAGCACAAATTTATGTACCTTCTCGACAATGTTTGGAACCTACAAATTTTTAAGGCTCCCTTATGGAATAAATTGCCTCAGAAGTCTGTCAAAAATGCAATAATGAAATATTCGGGGGGATAGAAAACGTGTTAATCTGTACTAATGACATACTGATCTATGACAAGTCAAAGGAAGAGACCAAACAAACCCTGTTAAAAGTCTTCAAAACACCCCGAGAGTATGATATCAGATTAAATGTAAATTTCAATACATGGTCGAGAGAGTGCATTACTGGGGTCAGCGTATTTTAGGAATGATAAACTATTTCAGAGCCTACATTCCAAACGTGGCAGAAATAACTGCTCCTCTCAGAGAACTGCTGAAGAAAGATGTAATTTTTACATGGCTAAATGTTCACTCGGAAACAGTCAATGAACTCAAACAAATCATTATAAATCCCCCAGTCCTTCAAACTTTTGATCCTGACAAACAAATGGTGATACAAGCAGACGCCAGCAAATATGGGACAGGTTGTGTCCTCATACAGCAAGGGAAACCAGTTAGTTACGCTTCCAAAGCCCTATCCAGCACTGAAATTAGATACAGCCAAATAGAGAAGGAATTTCTATCAGTCTTGTACGCTTGTAAACGCTTTCATTCATTCATCTGTGGTCAGAATATCATTGTTCACACTGACGACAAGCCAATCGTGAAAGTAATAAAAAAGGACATCATAAAAATTCCCTCCATTAGACTACAAGGAATTAGGCTAAAGTTAATTATCTATGACATGGATGTGCGATTCCTCCGAGGTTCAAAAATGCATATCGCGGACGCTCTCAGTAGAGAATGTTCAACCCGCTGCCCACACATTGACACAAACCCATCCTTAAATGAAATTCAGCACTCTTTGAACATATTAGATGATCTTCAAATTCAACTTCAGAATGAATCTGACAAAGACCCTGCTCTGCTCTCCTTGAAAACTCTGATTGTAAATGGATGGCTGAGTTCAGAAACGAAACTTCCAATCCCCTTAAAATTTTTCTATCAATATAGAAATGTCCTCTCCATAGAGGAATCGCTCGTACCTATTTCTAGACAATAGATTAGTTGTCCCAGAGTCCATGCGCAAAACAACACTAGAAAAACTTCACGAGTCCCATGTTGGTGAAACCAAAACAATTGCTAGGGCAAAGTCACCTTTTCTATAGGCCAAAAATGAATACTGACATAGAATTATTCGTATCAAGTTGTAAAACATGCCAAAAATTTGCCAAAAACAATTTAAAAGAACCAATGATTGTTGGACCACAGCCATCTCGTCCATTTCAATATGTTGCCAGTGATCTTCTCAAGCACGGAAACAAAGACTACCTAGTTCTAGTAGATATGTACTCCTAGTTCTAGTAGATATGTACTCCAAATGGATAGGGTTGGTAAAACTCCCCCTAAGACAGCCTCTGCAGTTTTCGCAGAACTTAATAAGATTTTCTCCGTGCATGGCATCCCTGTCAAGGTTTATGTGGACAATAATCCCTATAATTCCCTAGAATTCAAACTTTTTGCCAAATCATAGGAATTTGAGCCTGTATATTCCTCTCCTCACTACCATCAGAGCAACGGTTTAGCCAAAAAAGCGGTAGGAATCTGCAAAAGTCTCCTCAAAAAATGTGATGACACAAACTCGGACATCAACCTAATGCTTCTAGAATACCAAAACACGCCCGTCTCAGGAACACCCCATTCTCCAGCTCAGCTTTTGTTCAGTTGCCTTTGCAAAACTTCTCTTCCAATAAAAGATGAGCTTCTAGAACCCACACTCATTCCCAACCATCCCACCACCCTTGCCCACAAGGCTGAAAATGCCAAATCATATTATGATGAGCATGCAAAAGACTCAAATCACACTTTCTACCCTTCGCAATTAATGCTCTATAAAGACAATTTATCGAAGGGCACTCAATGGAAGCCAGCAAAAATTGTCAATCTGACAAGCAATCCCCGTTCATTCGTAATTGAAGATGAAGAAGGGAGACAAAAAGTTAGAAATACGCCCTTCCTCAAACCCATCCCTCAAGTACGCAGAAAGCTCCCCTCCTCTTTCCCGCTCCTTCCGAAGAGGTCTTATTGGGTGGACAGATCGAAAGAAACTGAAGGGAAGTCCATTCTGGAGGATGACTCAGAGGCTACTTCTAATAGTCTATGAGCCAGCTGCACTTTTGGTGCCACTACTCCGGCACGCTTGAAACTTTGCAGAGACATAGTTCTGACCTCCCTAGTAACAGATTGGGCAATATCAGTGTTATGCAGCAGTTGGTAGTATGTACGAGTAGTGATATTGTCGCTACTTAGGTGTCAGGCCTGCAGGGCAAGCTTATATCTTTATCAATATACTCTGTCGTTTTGTCACGCAACTCGTGCACTTCTCTCTTCCATCATCCTTAATTTTTCCGATATAACAAATGGCGACGAGCTTTTCTTCCGATTTTCAGAATTCGGAACTCTTTCTCTTTAACGTGTTTTTGCGTTAACGGTCGCGTTTTTCTCGCGCTATCGCTCGACCCCGTGAAGTCTGCATCGCATCATGTCGGATGGTGAAACAGATCCTCCTCAACCTCAAGGCCTCGAAGCTAAACTCGCCCAATTAACTGACTTGGTTCTGCAGCTTGCCGCTTCCCAATCTTCACCGACGGTCCAATCCGCCTCCCGGTTCTCTTTTGATGCTTTCTCTACAACGTCTCAAGAACAGATAGAGGATTATTTAGAGAAATTTAGTGAAGCCATCACCTTCCGGAAGATTCATCAGCACGCTGATGAGTCTATATCAGATTTTGTGTCTCGCCTCAAGACTGGTGCGCGATATTGTGAGTTCGGCGACTTCCTAGATTACTCGCTTAGTATTCAGTTCATCTACGGCCTGTTTAGCGATGACATCCGCGATAAAATTGTAACGAAGCAACCTGCCAACTTCGATGCTGCTGTCGCTGTGGCGACTAACCTCGAATCTTCCTTTCAAGCCTCTGCCATCCTCAAGCCCACTTCTGCCCAACACTCAACCACTATCAGCAAGTTTTCACATGAAACTAGACCCTAACTCAAGAAAAACTCAGGAAACTATCGGAGCCGCAGTCATCCTCACAGTAAGAACTCACACCGCAGCCCTTCTCACAGTAAGAATTCTTATCGCAATCCTTCTCACAGTGAGAACACAAACTCTTGTTTATCTTGTGGAGGTTCCCATAACCGCAGTACATGTAAATTTAATTATGCTGTCTGTAATTACTGTAAAATCCGAGGTCACATTGTCAATGCATGTAAGAAGAAAAAGTACTCTAATGGTAAAGAGGTTAATGATAATACCAGAAACAATTCTGATAATTCTAAAGTTCATGATTTTTGTCCCGATTCTGATACTTATTATCTGCAACATCAATTTAAATCAATCTCTGGCGGCAGTCCACCAATTTTGCTCGATGTCCTCATCAATGGTAAATCACTCCGTATGGAGCTCGACACAGGTGGTACCTGTAGCCTTATCAGTCATAGCACGCTCCTTAAATTATTTCCTCGTGCCAAAATGACTAAAATTAATGAAAGTTTCACCTCTTACACTCAAACTAAGTTCAACTGTATAGATTACATTTGAGCTAAAGTGACTTTCAGGAATCGTACTGAGTGCCTCAAATTATTCATCACTGATATCCCTAGCGATAACATTTTTGGTCGTCAATGGATTAAACCTTTTGCAGATCTCCTCTCTCTTCATGAACTACTCCACAATCAAACTGATATTAACAATGTATGTGCACACAACTCTCTAAATAAAATGGATTCTATTAACCTTAACAAGTTTCTCGACAAACACAAAGATATTTTTGGGGATAAAGCAGGTACCCTCACTGGACCTGCCCTTGATTTTCACTTCAAGCCAGGTGCAAAACCTAAATTCTGTAGAGCTCGACCGCTTCCCTATTCTATGCTAGATCAGTAGGCTGCCCCAAATTGATGAAAAAATCAAATCAGGATTCTATAAAATGGTTGATCATTCTGAGTGGGCTAGTCCCACACATGTTGTTGTGAAAAACAACAAGCTGAGAATTACGGGCGATTATAAAACCACTCTCAATCCTAACCTAGTAATTGACGACTATCCTATTCCCAGGCCGGAGGAACTCTTTGCAAAAATTTGTGGCTGTAAATACTTTTGCAAGCTGGATGTTAAGGACGCATTCATGCATCTTCGGTGCTCTTAGGCTGCATGCGAAGCGATGACTTTGAACACTCCAACGAATGGGTTAATCCAGCCTACAAGAGCGCAGTACGGTGTCTCTAATATCCCTGCTGCCTGGCAACGTCGTCTGGAGCAAATTTTAAAAGGTATCAAAGGAGCTGTCAATTTTTTTGATGACATATTAGTATTTGGTTCCTCAATTGAAGAAATCTTTGCAATTCTTGACAAACTTTTTCAGAACCTGAGAGAGGCGGGTATTAAACTCTCTCGCGAAAAATGTCAATTCTTCCTTACATTTATTGAATTTCTTGGTCACATGTTGGATGGAGAAGGAATTCATAAACTAGATAAACATGTCCAAGCTATAGTTCAAGCAAAGAAACCTGAGTCTGCTGAAGAACTTCGAACATTTTTATGCAAGGTTACGTACTATCATTCTTTTATTGATAACCTCTCGACACGCGCTTATCCTCTAAGGCAAATGCTTCAAACTTCTCATTTTGAATGGACCAAAGCTGGTTTGGCTGCCTATGAAGATCTCAAAAGTGAGCTCATTTCTGACAAGGTATCAACACCTTATGATCCCAGTTTACCCAGTTGATGCAAGTCCAGTGGGACTCGGTGCTGTGTTGTCACACATCATGCCAAATGGCACTGAAAGGCCAACTGCCTATGCAAGCCAAAGTCTTAGTGAAACGCAACAACGTTATGTTCAGCTTGATAGAGAAGCCTTAGCTATCGTCTGGGGTATCAAACGTTTCTTTCAGTGCATTTACGGTCGCTTATTCACCCTCATCACAGATAATGAACCATTATCACACATATTTGCTCCTGATTCATTATTGCCAAAATTTACTTTATCTCGATGCTCAAATTATGCCAGTTATCTCACTAACTTTACTTATAATGTCAAATTTAGACCCTCAAAACAGAATGCCAACGCTGATTACCTCTCTAGAAGTGTCAATGGCAACTATGATCCTACTGATGATCTTCCAGACCACTTCCACTCTTTTGTATCGGCGCAAATTGATCAATTGCCCCTCAGCACAGAAGCTATCGCTTTTGAAACTCAACAAGACCCAGAGTTGTCTACACTCTTCCAAGCTCTTGAACAAGGTAAAGACCTCAAAACTCTTGGGTTCAAAGGGAATCAGCTGGAATACTCTATTGTTCAAGGATGCTTGATGCTCGGACATAGGGTCGTCATCCCTCATAAATTTCGTCAGAAATTATTGGATGAACTGCATCTCGCCCACTTGGGAATCACCAAAATGAAAGGCATTGCTCGCTCCATCATCTACTGGCCTGACATCGACAAAGACATTGAAAGTATTGCAAAATCTTGTATTCCATGCCTCGAGAATTCAAGAATGCCACCCAAATGTAATAATCATGTTTGGGAATATCCAAAAAAACCCTGGGAACGTGTTCATGCTGATTATGCTGGACCAATTTTTGGCAAATTTCTTCTGATTGTTGTTGACGCATTTTCAAAATGGACAAAAATCTTCATCACAAGCTCTACAACTAGTGAAAAAACTTCTGAACTGTTGTTTGATTCCTTCGCAGAATTTGGAATTCCAGACATGCTTGTAACGGATAATGGTCCTCAATTCACCTCCGCTGAGTTCCAATCCTTCCTCACCAATCAAGGGGTTAGATTCCACAGAAGAATCGCACCCTACCACCCAAGTACAAACGGACAAGCAGAACAATATGTGCAATCAGTGAAACAAGCTCTCAGAGCTATGAATACTACTCCAAAGACACTTCGGCTCTGCTTAAACAAATTTTTAATGCACTATCATCGTGCTCCTCATCAAACCACTGAAGTTCCTCCATCATCTCTTTTCTTAAACAGAATCATAAGAACAAAACTTGACATCATCTCACCACTCTCTGAATCACACTTAAGTCCTACAGAGGAAAATCTCGAAGAACGCTCCTCCTCAATAGACCTCAAGAATCCGTCTGTTTCCAGTCAAGCCTCTCCAAAAGGTTCCCTTCGTTCTTTCCAAGCTGGAGATACGGTTCTTTTTCGAACATATAATTCAAAAATCAAGTGGTTAAAGGGTACAATCGCAGTTAAACTAGGCAAACTTCATTATTATGTTGATCATCAAGGCACTCAACATAAACGTCACATCGACCAACTTCTACCTTTTCACTCCAACTCTACCGCCTCAGTACAACCTCGTCGAATAAGATTTCTTGATGAAATTCAAGTTGTAACACAAGAATCTCCTACCAAACAGCGCTCAAACTTCAGTGGTAGCTCTCCTCGCAAACAGCCTCCTGTACAGATCATCCAAAATCCAGTACCAACAGAACTATCTACTCTACCAACAAACTCACAAACGTCTCAGAACTCTTCTCAGCAACAAGGCACTCAAGCATGTCAAGACTCCTCACAATCTCAACGTACTCCAGAATCTCAAACAAGCCGAAGCTCTCCGCAAGTTCAAAGTCAACCAAGTAATGATCGGTCTCCGCCCAAGCAACGATCTCCAATCTCTCTACAAAGGTCAAACAATGCTCTAGTCACCCCAACCAGTCAAGCAAGACGTCTTAATGTCAAATCTCCTGAAACATTCTTTACTCCAGATGAAACAGCAGTTGTTATTACTTTAGATGAATCACCGCCTGTAAGTACAAATCGTACCCCACTATCTAGTGTATCTCGACCCCCCTTAATAGGTAGGGGAGGAGCAATAATTAGAAAATCTATCAGACCATCCAAACCTCCAGATCGGTATACTCCACCTTAATCTATCAATACATACCAATCTGTCTGTAATAATTCATTCTATTGAAATTTTATTGTTTAAAAGATATAAATACTCTAACTCATCTCCTGCCCTTACAGCTCTTGAAAATTGTAAATCCATTCTCTCTGTATGTTTTTCTTGTAAATTTTAAATCAGAGCTTAAATCTTTCTTGTATGTTTTCCTTTTAAAATCCCTCAGATTTTAAAATGGGCAGGGAGACTGTTATGTAACAGTTGGTAGTATGTACGAGTAGTGATATGTCGCTACTTAGGTGTCAGGCCTGCAGGGCAAGCTTGTATCTTTATCAATATACTCTGCCGTTATGTCACGCAACTCGTGCACTTCTCTCTTCCATCATCCTTAGTTTTTCCGATATAACAATCAGATCTTAAAAATGGTGCATCTGGCCACTAGTCGCATGTAAGAGCCACTTTTTGGCTCCTGAAAAAGTGCTTTGACGTTGTTCACTAACCTTTATATTGTATGCACGTACAGTTTGGGTACACGTTAACTTAGTTTTAGCCCGGCAGACGAATTCAAGTACATACGGTGGATCGGCAGACCTCGAAATTGGCTCCACAAGCAATAAAAATTTAAGATTACCATGCGACCTCTCCATGGTGCATGGAATCCACGCACTCACCCCCCTCAAAAACAGGTGCATCGGATCCACAGGTCGTGGAGCCCACGCACCAAAATAGAGAGGGACAGAGAAGATGTGGTGCGTGGGGCGTGGGCAGTAGCTCGCAGGGGAAATTTTCAGATCTCTCAATCAGATTTTCTCGATGGGATTCCAGAGAAAAAAAAAGAAAACAAAAAACCGTCCCTTCCTTCCCTCGTTTGCTCCTAGCGGGCACTAGGTCCACTGTACACTGTGAAAAAATTGCAACCTATAATCAAAACGGTAACGTTGAATGGTGTCAATGATCATCGTGTCAACAAACAGAAAAATATCTGCTTTATAAGTAAGATTAAAAAATTAACCCTCTATTGCATGAATTAATTTTGGATTTAATTTTTTCCAATACTGTAACGGAATTATTAATATTAATTATTATTAGGCACAAAAAAAAATGAATTTAACGATAGACGCTAAAAATACCGGGTTTGCTATTAGTCGGCCATTATGAACTTCAACTGGCCGCCATTTTGGTTTATATAAGTACAAATTTTACGGCAATTTTGTTCCTCTCGTGTCAAATAATCCCAAGGTACCAAGTATCGGGTAAATCCATCGGGAAAAACCTGAGGTGTCAATTTCGGCCATCTGCAGCCCGACCACAGACTTTGACTTCCATCGATATTGATGGAGCTCAGTTCCATTCCAATGGGGTATTCCATTGGAATGGAATGGAACTGAGTTCTATCAATATCGATGGAAGTCAAAGTCTGTGGTCGGGCTGCTGGAGTTCAAACCGGCAGCCATTTTTAAACAGTTTGAGATACTAGCTTCTGGTTTGCACGAAATTGTTTTCTTTCCTTACATTCATTTGGATTATTCATCACAAGGGTGGTCTTCCTATTTGGAAAAAAAAAAAGTTGGGGTCCGTTACCCCTGCAAGTGGCTCTTCTGGAAGTTTTTTTTTTTGGGGGGGGGGAGGTGACAAAAAAGTAACTCCCTCTGACCTAGGAACGTCCCCAAGTGGCAAATCTTTAGCTCAATGAGTCAGTTAAGCTCGGGAGGGATTTGCCTGCAAATAGTCGAATCTTACAGTTTTCGGTACGAGAGGAACGATGCGCATGTTAAAATTTCACGAAAAATTGTCTTCGCGAAGATATAACGCTTCCTTTTTAGGGGTCCTCGAAAACGTGTTTGAACCGACCGCCGTGAATCTTGGAATCTACGCGTCATAGAACGGGAAGATGGCAGCGCCGGAGCCGACCTGCTTACTACCGCCACGCTGCCGATGTTGACAACACGATTTCTCGTTTGAGGTTAAGTAAGGCCTTGTCTCGAGAATCTTTCCGACTGGCGACTTGGACGGTCAACCGTTGGAATTCGGCGATTTACCCCGAATCTCCACCGCGGCGGTGCATGTTCGGGGATCGAGCACCTCAACGTTTTCATGTAAACAACTAAGATGGCGGCGCATATTGCGCGGGTGTTTTGAATTTGTGGATCGCGGGCAAGGTCCACACTTTAAGCGGACTTGAAGCAACCACGTACTTAATTAAAATTTACATTTAAATATTTTTATCAAGTTAATATTAATTCCTGATAGTCGAATGAAGGAAGTTTTCTCCCGTTAAGACAAAAGCTGCAATGTCGCCGTTTATCAATGCATTCTAGGAAAGAAAAAGTAGCAGCCAGAAGAATGAGTCTTGAGCGACCATCCTCAGCATTCATTCCTTCTTTTCAGAGATTTTTTGTCATCACTTATCAGGGATGTAAAATGAAATCTAACATGATATGAAAGTACACAGATTTCTTAGGAGGAGTGTACACCGCCCATAAAATTATCTTATGATAAAATTAAGAGTTTGACTCTTATTTTGTTAAATATTGAGATTTTCTGATTCTACGCATTTCACGGCCTACTGAGCCTATTGCAGAAGTTATACTTTCATGAAATTTTACCTTATATGAAATTGCATGCAATTTTGCATCTCTGCTCATTATGGAACCCATTCAGCAGGCTATCAAGACTGAGGCTGCTTTAAAAATGTAAATGGTGCTAGCAAGAAAGGGGTTGGGCCTCTAGGAGGAACATATTTTTTCAAATTAAAATTTATCATGAGGGTGAAAATTCTCACACATCAGGCAAATAGGGATTGTCCCCTCCCCCTTATTCAGAGAGAGTACTAACATTTTTCTGGGACAATTTTGGTCAATTTCACTGTGAAGTGTGTCAGCAGCGCCCAACTCCCTCCCCGCAGGCACAAGACCTCTCCAGTTAGATTTCCCGGGTCCAGCTGAAATGGCACAGCTACATTTAATCATTCAATCTAATCTTTCAAATCTACGTTAAGTCGTACGTTTATGGTAGACTTCAGATTTCGATACTTGTCTGTTACGCATTTGCAAACATTTGTTTTTTTTTGTAACTGTCTTCAAAACACCAGCGTCATTGTCCGGTGGATTTTCCATCAGAGTCTACACACTTAGACTCATCACTGACCAATTTCTCTGGAATATCTAGCATGAATGGTTAAAATGTAGATTTCACTTTGCAGATAAAGTAGCTGAGGGCCCGAAAAAAAATTTTCACTTATATTAACTTCTTTAAAGACCTTTCTGACCTTAAAAGAAGCATGTGGACTTTAGGTCTGGCTGTGTTATGAGAGGCTGCACAACAGAATCAAATTATTCTCTTGAGATAAATTCCTTGCCTCTGAACTAGAAAGGCCATTGATTCAGCTTTGTTCTGACCCCAACACAAATAAAACAATCAGCCCAACAGGCAGCAAGCGTCAAGAGATATTTATGCATTTATCCTCTCAGTTATTTGCACTTGGTCTGGAAAATACTGAAATAATGGTTTATACTGCTGAGAGCAATGGAATTTGTTGGATGTTCAACGTCTTTCGCAAATATTGACACATTACGGCAAGAGGCTGGTGTTACCTTTGATGCATCAACGAAGAGGTATCACAAACAACTTCGAAGTTAAAAGTTACAAAATCAAGCAGCGCTACTACATTTAAATTTGAGAATACTAGATATTCATACCAATTAGGTAATCAGAGACGTTTGGAGACTTTTATACGTAAATTCCGGTGGAAAACCCACTCCATGAAGACATTGGTACAATGTACAAGTGGAGTGAAACAGTTGCAAAAAGTAAACAAATACTTACGTTCGCGTAACGGTGAGCTTAGCTTATTGAGGCTAAAATGGAACGACTGAAACGATTAAATTAATTTTGAATTATTATACTATAATCGATCAGCACACGATGCTTGGGCATGCGATCGGAAGGCTTGGTTTCGTAAACAAAATACAAATATGGCGGCGGTCCGTCACAACGTTGAGAGTGCCGAACCCCCGAAAACGCACCGCCGCGGTGGAGATTCGGGGTAAATCGCCGAATTCCAACGGTTGACCGTCCAAGTCGCCAGTCGGCAAAACCCCTTGTCTCGACGGCGCAACTGTTGAAGGAAGGAAGTGTCTCAAAAATATTTCACTTTTCACTTATAAGTGAAACTTTCAAGGTCAGCAACCTTGAACCTCAACAATTGTTTACCTTTGTGTTCTGCATTGATAAACGCTGGTTACACGTGAAGCGGGAGTTTATTACGGGTGTTTTATTTCCGACCGGTTATTATTTGGAAATATTTGTATACATTTCAGTATGAATTTTATATTTTCGTCTGTAGCATATCACTACAGCAGGAAAATAAAACATTTTCGAATATTTATTCTTTTTATCCATATCTGTGTTACGTTTTTGTTTTTTGTTTTAAACCTGGTCGAAGTAACGGAGAATATTCACCTCCCGTTCATAAATATCAGTTCAGTTATATCTATCTCAGTTGACATCGTTTAACCTAAAAAAATTAATGTTGTTCAAATATTCCCGCCTAAAAGTTCCAGGAACATATGCGTGTGTGTCGAGACAGGGAACTTCGGTTGGTCCAACAAACTCGCAACAGTTGCACCTAATTCCCTCCACAGTTGCGCCGTTGAGACAAGGCCTACCTAAGTTCTGTGTGAATGTTTCGTATCCTACATACATCTGTATCGCATTCTGATTGAAAAGCTTAGGGAATTAAGAACAATGGATATGAATCTCGAACAAAGTAACCTACAGAACCTCCAATTGACCAACAAAATCAAACCGCCAACGCAAAGACATAAAGACGGAGCGCTAAAAGCATAGAGTACAATAGAGTCGCAATGTACTGGAGCGCCGATGAAGTCAATCCATTAACGGGCCTTTCCGAGCCGCTTGTGCTCCGAAAAGTGTGAACCAAGTGTGAACCCAACGGCACTTATCATCATGGTGGCTTATGGAGAAATCAAGAACTGCTCGTGTTTTTTCGACATTTTTTATTCAAT